ATTGTGTTGTTTACATGCACTTCGCGAAAATCTAGCTTCGCGGTGTCAAATAAGTTGCTGACTTCCACATTTTTTTATTTCGTCATCGTAAACATGTGCGCTCATTTTAACGACTGGCGTTGGTGGGAGTTCGTTGAAATTGAATTAATAGCGACTATTATAGCAGAAATAGAAAAGATTGAATTGTCAATAAATAAATACAACAAATCTGATTTTATTATTAAGAAAAATATACATTATCACTTTGAAAAACATACGCAATCGGACTTTTTAACGTTATTACTTTGTCGATGATGCAAAGGTCATTGGTAATATCGACTATTCGTAAAACGGACGTTTGCTGGGTGTTTACCCAAAATATTACAAATAATTTCTGAAAACCAGACTAAATGAGACTACTTCGATGCTGTTGTTAGCATTGGTGAAGTACGTTGTTGCCAGCCAGAAGATGATAATGGTGGTACAATACAACAAAGCTGGCTTCCTACGTTACGTAATCGTGTCCTTGTAATCCGAGCCGACTTTACCGTTAAGCAAGTTAATTTACCGTTATTCTAGTAAAGTTAAGTCACTTAACTTAAGTGACTTAATTCCTTTAACTAGCTATAATTGAGTGGTTCACGTCGAACTTTTAACTAGTTAAGTGGATGTATATCTAGATAAAAGTTCGACGTGAACCAAGCTATTATCCAAGAGCATTAATCAATTAAGCAAATGTCAACATCACTGTTGATTTATATTTTTTGAAAAAAAGTACCTTTCAAAGGCTGCACTGATACCAATTTTTTACTTATATACAGTAAGTACAATAAAAATTTCAGCAAAACTGCTTTCTTAAACATTAATCTCTCGAAACATTTTATTCTTTTACTTTAGAGTGTTCCAGAAGTGATGTTGACATCAAATAAGTTGCATGTATCTGTGAGGAAATATTTATTATATTCCAACAAAAACCAATTGAAGATATGGATCATTATATTAATATTATAGATACATATTTTTACGGTTTTTAAGATTTCAAATTCTATTTCATTAGGTCTTTACATAATCATGAATGTCATTGTAAAACATTTGTGTGTATTATATGTTAAAACATATCTTACTTGTAGTACTATCATCATTCGTATCAGTAGTAATATGGTTTCAAACTTCAGTTGAAAGCTGCTTTGTAATGGGAATAAGAACTGTTGTAGGTACAGTATATTGCTGTAGTTGAAATTGTGATATGTCAAGACCCTAATGCAATTGCATCAACACTGACTATATCACAGTGAGGCAAAAAGCAGTAAGGTAGTCACAATCACTCGGAGTAGAAATACAACTTGTAGTTTACAGCTTTCATGTTGTTAGGTTGTTACTATTGTAATAAAAAAAGGCATTAAAATTATTCTCAAAATAGTAAATTGTGCTCTTTCACCAAAACAAAATATATATTTTGACTTTCATTAAAGAAACACTAATATGGACATTATTTTATTTTTTATTTTTAAATTTGCATTCAATAAATATATAGGCCTATACTACTACGTAAAATATAATGGAAATTTAATATCATTCAAAGCACTTAAAAATAAAAAACTT